CTCTCCCTTCCTGTCTCTCTCCTTCTATGCCCCCCCTCTCTTTCTTTCCTCTTCTCTCTCTTTTTTTTTTCCTCCTACAAGTTTAGTCACACGTCACAAGGCAACGTACGTTTTTAGTGGCATGTGTCTCCTTTAACGATCAGCAATGGCGTATGAATTGATTATTCTGGAGTATCATTATTTTCTCCAATATACAAAATAAAAACACCCCCTACCATAGTATATTACCCTCTCTCTGGTTTGGTTTGCTCCTTCTTTCCTATCAAACATCTATCTCCCCCCCCCCCTGGAGCGGTGCTATTGACTGGAGTCTTTAGGCCATTCCTAAAGGGGGGGGGAGAGGGAGGGCATTAACACCTCGAGTTTTTATGCTCAGTTAAGTAGAATTGTAATTGTAAATGGGCTGATTGCTCAATGGCATGCTCATAACTGTGCCTGTACTGCAACAGGGAAATGTTGCCTTTTCTTTCCTAATCCTTACTATCGTCATTTTGCCTCTATTTCTTTTGTATGTTTGTCACACTCTTGTGATCCGCTATTTCCGCGGTGCCTTGATAGTCGAAGCAGATTTTGTGCTGTTGAAGCTAGAGAGGTGAGCAGAGTAAGTCTGACTCCCTGTAAGGACTTCTTTGTTGACATCCACCCCTTTGCGCTCATATGACTTTATGCAGTTGCACGGGCCGTAAAACCTCTTCTAAAACTAAACTAAAAACATCGATCGTTCTATTCTGTCTTCCGTCTTTTCCTGTTTGTTACTCATTGAAATACTTCTAATCTTCGGCACTTATATTGCCTTATTGTGTTGCAAGTGCCGTAAATCGTTTACTTAAACTAAAACAAACCTGATCTCAATTATTTATTCAGTCTGCTACAAACTCTGGTGAGCAAGGGGCAACAGGGCCCATTCTGCCTAATTAAGGAGGTGTATGAAATTATTAACACTTAGTTTTCTCTTTGTAACATACAACTACTTTGGAATCGAAATGACGATCTATAAGTAACCGGATCTACGAGGGAAAAGTCGAGTACAATGTAATTCAAAACTGAAAAGTGTGGAATGAACACCCCCCCCCTTTCCCTACCCTTCGCCCAAACCCCCGGGTGAAGAGAATT